ATTTTCTCAAGTGAAAACCTTTATTCAGCTAAAAGGAGCGCCTCCTGCGGGACATGATCAGCATGAAGAAATTAGCCTGTCTGGGTTCTTGTATTATTGTATGCCTTTAAAATCAAAGTGTTTTTGTGCACTGCAACACTAAAGGGCTTTTAATTTGAAGTACAATAATGCACTAACTTTAAAAAAGTATTCCTACTGAGACAAGACCAAAAATACCTTTTTTAAAAAAAACAAACAAACAAGACATTAGAAAGTAAACCTGCCTCTTGATACAGACCTGCTTCAGCAGTTGAGGTACATAAAAGGCATGGTCAGTAATTGAGGAAATACGGTGGCCACAGTTCATTGAAAACCCATGAGCACACAGGCCTGCTGCTTGGCATGCTTGTGTCATGGAAGATGCAGATTCAGAGCTTTTAGTGCACTTCAGAATAAAACTCTTACAGCATTGATGTCCTCTTAGGTCATTTGTCACCAGTTGAGAACTACAACCCTGCACCGTTTCTGCCAAGAAAAAAGTCTGTGATGGATGTATATGATTTAAATTGTTCTATTTAAAGAAAAAATATGTAGATTTAATAATCCTGATTACGGTCCCAGCACTTAGCTTAGTCATTCATGGAAATGGAATCGAGTAAAACACAGTCGTGTTTAAAGTGCTGTGGAAAAATTTAACAATCACAGTGCAAAAGCTAATTTAAAGAGGCCACTAAAAGTCAAATAAACTAACTTCTGTTACAGCTGTTATAGAGACAGTGCTGATTACAACTGTTGTTTGTTTATGTTTGGTCTCCAGAGGTCTTGACCACCATTGAGGAAGGCGATGTGGATGAAATGACGAAGAGGAGGGTGCACGAGGGAAAGGAGAAGCCTGGAGCTCTCTGGCACATCTATGCTGCCAAGGACGCAGAGAAAATCAGGGAGCTGCTTCGCAAGGTCAGCAAGCCGGCAGATCTGTTTCAGGCTGGCCTGTCGCTAGCTGTAGCCGTAACATTTTGTAACCATAAACTGTGAGGACAGGATTGTCATTGGATAAATAAAACTGGGGTAGAACGATAGCTTAATTTCTGCAGAAGATGATTAAAGTTCACAAACAAAAATTAGCCAGCTGGGGAACTTTAGTTAAAAGCTCATCCTTTCTAAGCAATGGCTTGTCCTGACCTTTTGCAGGTGGGAGAAGAACAAGGTCAAGAGAACCCGCCAGATCACGACCCGATTCATGACCAGAGCTGGTACCTGGACCAGGTGCTCCGCCGCCGGCTCTACGAAGAATATGGCGTCCAGGGTTGGGCCATTGTACAGTTCTTAGGAGATGCTGTATTTATCCCTGCTGGAGCTCCCCACCAGGTCAGACTGTTTTTATATGAAAAGTACAGCTGTACACATACCCTGTGATTCAACAGACCTGCCTGTTTTTTGTGATTTTTCTCACACCTCCATGAACACATTTGTCCTTTCTGCACGCTCAGGTGCACAACCTGTACAGCTGTATCAAGGTGGCGGAGGACTTTGTGTCTCCCGAGCATGTGAGGCACTGTTTCAGGCTGACCCAGGAGTTCAGACACCTGTCCACTACTCACACAAACCATGAAGATAAACTCCAGGTGGGTGTGTTTTTCCTCTCAGTGTGTAGTTTTATGTCTTATTTGGATGGTTTATACTAGAGGACGATGTTTGCTTGTGTCGCTTGAAGCTGTAGGCTATAATTTACTTAACTCTGTGTTCACAGTTTTATGATCTTTTTATTGGAACAAAGAGTTTATTAGTTGCTGACAGTTATTTAAAAACTATAAAATTAAGATTGGTTACCAGTATGTTATCTATAAACTGGGGCTGAAACCTGAGCAGCATTATAAAGTGTTAAAAATTGAAGGGTTTAAAGAAACGGGTACATATTATATTGTTTACCTTTCATACACTCTTGTGTCTGTTCTGTTAACCTTTGTGTATATATACACACTCAGCGGACACTTCATTAGTTAAACCTGGCTGGTAATGGGGTTGTCTTTAGATTAGTTTGAATTTCTCATGGCATAGATTCAACAAGGTGCTGGAAACATTCCTCAGATTTTCATTCACATTGACATGACAGCATCACACAGTTTCTACATCCATGATGGGAATCTTCTGTTCTACCACATCAGGTGCTCTATTGGATTGGGATCTGTTAACTGTGGAGGTTGTTTGAGTGCAGTGAACTCTTGGTCATGTTTGAAAAACCTGTTTGAGATGATTAGTGCTTTGTGAGATTGCTTCAGTGTTGCTCAGCTAGTACTGAGTGGCCTAAAGTTGGATGGATCCATGTTTTCATGCTCTTTGAAATTCCAACTTTTTTCAGACCCGTTCCCTGTAAGCCCAGGAGATTGTTGTGTGGGAAAATCCCAGCAGATAAATGTTTAAAGTCACCTAAATCACCTTTCTTGCCCATTCAGATACTCAGTTTGACCATGTCTACACACGTAGCTCCACTGAATCACTGCCATGTGATTGGCTGATTTGATATTTGCATTAACCAGCAGCTGAACAGGTGTAACAAAGTGATCAGTGAGTGTATACACTGTTACAAAGGTGGATGTTTATATTAGAGGCCATTCTTCACTATAACGCAGCAGCATGTTTATAGAGTTCTCAGTGGGAAAAGCTGATTGTTCTGTCTCTGTTTTATAGTCAAACACAGCACAGCCTGTGTTTACATATAACAATGCTATGTTTTTGTTAAATAAAAGGAAAAGCACGGTGATACTCTTCAAAGTAAGATAATAAGAGAACTTTTTTTTTTTTCTCACAGCAGCATTGAAAAGTTATCATTTCTTATCGGTGTGAGGTGTTTTGTGTCTGGTGTTGTCTCACCTGCGGTTTTGTTGTATTTTTTTACCCTCAGGTGAAGAACATCATCTATCACGCAGTGAAGGACGCCATTGGGACGCTGAAGGCCCACGAATCCAAACTAACGCGCCCTTACTCGTCTCCTCAAACCGCTGGCCTCTGAAGACCACTCCACTACATGCACACAGCGCATACATTTCATACCTACATAAACAAGTACCAGCTGCACAGCGCAGAGTACAGAGATAGTGTAGGTTGTTTTGGGGGCAGTGAAGGTTTGAGTTTGGGAAGACTGTACATTTGATTAGATGGGGAGGGACAAATCAGCGCTTCGATGAAGGAAGTCCTTTATCGCTGTTACACAGTACGCTCAAACTTGTCTAGTTGTTTTCCTTTTTTTTTTTCTGATTTTGGTTAACTCTGTATTTAAGGTCAGTGTGTTTGTTCTGTTTTCATTGTACATGTAAGACGTGAGAGTAAGGGAGGTAAAAGCTGACGTGCCTTTGAAGCAGAGGTTCAGCTACAATATAAGCAACTGACAAAAATGTGAGTACTGGGCTAACTTTCCTATTTTGATGACATTGATATTATCTTTCTTCAATAGGAGCAAGGTTAACCTGTTTTTTGTAGACTTTTTTTCTGTTTAAGTTTTTAAACAGCTGATTGTTTCTGCCCTCTGTGGCTGAAATGAATTTGTGAAAACAGCCAGTCAAGGGAAGCAGACCAAAGTTTTGTATTTTTAGTTTTCTTATTTCACTTTTAGAGTAAGAAGTCTTTTTTTTTTTTTATACACCACAAGGTAATAATTGGTTGGGTGGGGCTTCAAAGGAGGGCAGTTTTTTTTCACTTGTCTTTGTCATGTGAGCTGAATGAACTGCAGACTTCCAACATGGTTCAAGAATCACAATTGCAGCTGAACAGAACTACTGGCCATTAACATTGTATCAATATATATATTGATCTAGCAGTCTGTTTGATTTTTCACAATAAAATTTACAAAAACTGCTGCTTCTCTGATCTTTTTTTTTTTTTTTTTTAACCTATAAAGCCTCTACCCATGCACCGCTAAGATGTAGATGGTATTAAAATACAAGTTTGCTGGTATCTGATTGCCTGTTTGGTCAAACATCCTGAAAAAGAGATGCAGTTCGCAGTTATGTTGTGCTCTGCAAAAGTCTTGAATCACCCATTTCTTTATAATTTGCTGGGAAAATGTAAATCGGGTGCAGTGATACTAAGTATTCTTCAGGAATACTTCTCCAGGCTTCTTAAACAACATTCAGAGATGCCTTTTGTTTCATTCTCTGTCATGATGATCCCACACTGCTTCAATAATGTTGAGGTTTGGGGCTCTGGGGAGGCCAATCCATGACTGATAGTTCTATTGTATGTCTTTACTGCATTGGCAGTATGTTTGCATTGGCTGAAGTGCAGCCCCAAACCAGTCCTTGTTTGACTTGGAAATGCAACACTGGTAAATCCCTTGTAAATGTTTCATATGTTAGTGTTAAGTGGCTTAATTGAAAACAACACAAACATTCCTCTGACAATGGTCGGGTACAAGGACTGGATTGAAAATCGCTAAAGAAGCAGCCACTTTCAAAAGAAAAACTTTGAAAGACCCACAGGAAGTCTGGTTCCTTAGAGACAAAATATAAGGTAATCAATGGGACTCCACAGGCTACTTTTTGATAAGTTAACCACTTCACTCAGTTTTCTGCTTAACTGAGTAACTGTTATCAAATATTTAAACTCAGTATCTTGTGGGACTGTGTTTAGTGTGTTTACATCTTTAAGTCTTCAGAGAAATGTTGAATCCCTCTTATGAGCCTAAATCATTTATCCACAGATCGGTCTCATGGACATAATAAAAAATAATGATCATAAAAAGGAGACCAGCACTGCGTGGGTTTTCACTAGGATAAACCTGGTATGACTGTGCTTGGCTTTGGTCCTTGTCAGTGAGCAGATTGGGATTGCACAGCAAAATTATGAAAGAAAAAGATGAAATCAGTTCTTTAGTAGTTTAATAACCTAATGTAGATGACTAAGGTTGTATTGTGCGCCACTGTTGGTTAACTAAGAGGAGCACCATGGGCCACATTTTGAAGCTAAAACTACAGATTTATCAGAGTGACTCTGGCCCTTTAAGAGCCAGTCTTGTTCATCAGCGGTGGTGTTGGTGGTGATAGAGAGCAGAGCAGTCTGGAGCTACACACTGCAGAGCACATCTCCAGCTGCTGTTAGCCTACCTGACGGCACAGCAGCCTTCTGGCTCTCATCACAGCTCGTCCTGGAGGGGAATGGGGGCCACCTAGCCCGCTTACTAGCCGACTAGATTTCCTAGAAGCTGGGGGGAAAGCCTCGAAGGCTGGCGGTCCAGCAAGATGGTATCCTGGATTATCTCGAGGATAGTTGTGTGAGTATGGGCAGGGGCTGCATCTATTTTTTTTTTATTCTTAAACACCATAACGGCTCCTTTCATCAGCTGCGTGATGCTGAACGCCGACCAGCTAGGCTGTCCGTTTCTTGTCCTTTTTATACACACACTTCACATGTAGGGGAAAAATAAATACATTAGCTATCCTGGCATTCAGACAGGGGCGTTTAAAGCTCCTGTGTTCAATAACCGCTGCCGTTTCTTTAATCAGCACAATGATGCAGCACAATCTGCATCCAGCGCTTGCTAGCCGCTCGTAGCTAACGCGGGCTGGCTAGTCAGTAACTGTAACCACCTGACAGATAATGTGTTGGCAGGGAAAGTGCAGCCTGTTTAACATGCCAGCCTCGCTGCACACAAGTAAACAGACTCCGAGCTGCCAGCCACTGCTTTTTACTTTTAAATAGCCCTCTGTGAATGTAACTAGGCGCCGTACCAACACGAGTTGGTAAAATGTGGTGCAAGGCTAAAGAAGCCCAACAGCCCAGCCAGGGATGTGTGTCCATCCATTCATATGCCACCAGCAGTGGGGCTTAATAAGACGGACAAGCGGTATCAGCAGATCACTCCTAGCCTCCACCTGAACACGCCACATCCACACTGTGTGGATGACTCAACCAAAACCAGCTGTCATTATCTTGATCCATTATGCAGACACTTCATGGTGCTGTCCCATCTCTAGTGAAATGTCCAGGTACTGTGTGCTCATCAACTGCTAACCTTAAAGTCGAACATCATGATGCCTTTGGAAGGCCCAGGTGTAGAAATGATGCTTCATCCCTATAAATGTTCTGCTTTTCCTTGATTACATAAGCAAACTGTTACTGTTATTGGCTTCCAGCTGCCTGCATCTTCCACTTCACTACACCTCAGGTAGTCATGTGTCTACTGAAGGCAAACAATGTGACTTGAATATGCATCATAATGCCCGCTGATTATCCAGCACACAAGATTAGTCATTTCTTGTCTTTGTGCTTTAAATGTGCATCTGGCCCAGTTTCTAAAGGGTGGCCAGCCTGTTTCTTTTATCCTGTTTTTACAGCTAGTTTATTAGTCTAACCTAAAGAAGTGAACACTAAAATATTTCCTAGACTGAACAAGAGGATGGAGTGACCGTAAGGTCAGTAGTGGGCTTTCAATGAGGACACAAAGAGGCACAGGGCGTCTGCTCTGGGAGCCCGCTGGCTTGGAGGCCTGCTACGAGTCATGTCGGCTCACTGTACGGAGCTGCACACATCACTGAGCAGCGTAGTCGAACACTGGGACAGAAGACCTACTTAAGGAAGGGGGAAAAAAAATAGATGCTAGGCTACCTCTGTAATTGGCATTCAACCTTTATTTACATTAAGGGTTTAAATCCAGCTATTGGTTTGCACTGTAGGCACGCTTGCACGGCCCTTCTGATCTGTGCTCTCCCTGCTGTCGCCTCACTCAGCGTTCAGTATCCTGTCAAATCAGCACAAATCGGCACAGTGGCAGAGGATGCGATCAAATGCACATCAAAAACAAGGCTGTGTTTGCACAATGTCCCAGTGTGCACGTGTTCTAACACATGGTGACCCACCCCTGGTGGAAACTGTGTGTTTTTTCCATTTTAGCTCACTGCAGTCTTCCTGACACCATTACATTGTTTCTACTCATTATCAGGCCACTTTGTTTTGACAAGTCACTGCCCAGCACTTCTTTCGTGGCATCGCCATGCGGATTAAAACCACATAGACACTCGCTCTGCTCAAGTACATGTCGCCCTTTTGTGTTTCACAGAAGCTCAGAGCAGATGTGGCTGCTGTGTGGGAGTGGGTTTGTGAGGTGTCAGAGTCAACACCCAGAGGCCATGTTCTCTAGCTGAAGCCCCTTCCTCTGACCCAGTCTTGTCTGCTTTTTTTGCAGCCTTGCCTTTGGGACGCTCTACCCGGCGTACTCCTCGTATAAGGCCGTCAAAACGAAGAATGTGAAGGAATATGTGAGTATAACCCCTGGTTACTAAACTTCAGCAAACCATTTTTGAGCTCTGTCTGCTCTGTTTGACTTTTAGGGTGTTTTGCCCTGAGCGCCTGCCAGCTATTTCTCCTCTAATGTGTTGAGAATCAACATGAGGCAGAGAAATACTCGGTTTCATCAGAGCAAGCTTATTAATTACTTGGAGTAATTTCTGTTGTCATGTTTTCTGCAATGCCTGTTCCGTTTCTTTGGCCGTTATCATTTGAAGACTAACAAAAATAGGAATCATGCTTAATGATCAGGGTGTTCCAGACAAGGCCAGAGGCATGGGATTGCAGTTTAACTAGGACACACCAACCTTCATAAAAGAAGGGCGTTTATGCACCATAAAAACACTAAAAGACGGAACAAATCCTGCACTTTGGATTCTTCCTGATTCTTTTTCCGTTCTGCGTAGATCTTTATGAAGTTCTGATTTATAAACCTGAAGCATTTATTGTGACAGGACCTTAAAATGTGGGACTTAGTTCAGGGTATTTTAACACTACCCTTGCAAACATTATATGAATTTACATGCAGCTCCTGATAATTGCAGGGTCATGTTGTGCACTGTATTGTGAGAGCCTATCAGGATGAATTGGACTGAGCACTAGACAAATAGCTGGTTGTTAAAGACAATGAAAGGTTGTCTTTAAATGTTAAAGCAAATCCTTTAATTCTTGTTAGGATGATTAGATGATGTCCCAAAGAGCTTCTTTGGCTATCTGCAATGTTTGGCTTCCTCATTTTTCAAGTGCTTTCAAGTTGAGATCTGGTGACTGTGGATGAAAGTCCGTGACAATCGACACTCTTCAGTCTTCTTTTTGGTCTAGTCGTAGTTCTTGCAAAGAGATGTGGTTGGGTGATTTATTCAGCTGCTGTAGGAGTCTTTCTAAAAAAAAAAAAAAAGAGTACCAACTGAAGGGCTTAGCATGTTAAGCACAGAGTGCACTTGGGTAAAGTTGATGCAGTGGAGGCAAAGCCACCCCACAAACATGTTTCAGTGTCGGTTTGATCTACATCTACAAATCTTATCTTTTGTAATCTATGAGCTAGGGCAACAGTGACAGAAAAGAAGTGGGGGGGTGCACAGGAGTTAACTGGAGAAACAAGAGGAAGACTAGATCACAGCCTAACAAAGATGCAGAGAGGAAATCCAGATTAGGAAAATACTCAAATCTCCATGCAATCTCTCTCATGGATGCTGAAGGGTCTCTTCAAGGGTTGGATGGAAATGCATTAGCAAGCTTTGCTCTGACCTCACCTCTCTCCGATGGAAACAGGAACACAATCTTCGGCAATTTCATACCCCTATCAGATGGATGCATTATGATCGTGTTCATCACTTGCTGGAAAATACAAATCAAAACAAAACAGGTGCTTCAGAGTGTGGTTGGAAAATCTGCGTCAGTGCAGAGTTAGTGCTGGAGAGCTTTACAGCCCACTTTCACAGCACTCGACATAGTGGACTCTCCATGCAAACACAAGAGGAGTGAGCGGTGTGTGTGAGTAGAGGTGTTATTGGGGTTGTTGGAATTTGTCCTAAATTCACACTAGGAAGAGGGAAAATAAGGCCCTGGGGAACTCAGTCGAGACAGAGAATGAAATGCAGAAAGCCCTGAAAACATTCAGAATGAAGTGGGGGTGGGGTGGTGGGGAGACTAAGATTACAACAATAAACCAGGAAGAAACACTGGAGCATGAAACTGTTTTTACTTTTCAAAATTTCAAGTCCTCAAACATTCAATTTGTTTTCATTTTTTTCTTCATCATTTTAAACCCCAGAATGTATTTTGTTTTAATAGTTAAACATTATTTATTTATTTCACAATTGCAAATGATTCAGACCTCTAAAAATTGTCATATTTTTAAATGGATGTCTGTGCTGGATCCAGCACTGAATAACAGACTGTATTGCATTGCTCAAAATAATTCAGGGGCACAAGTTTAACTCATAAACATGATGTGCCATCCCGGAGGAGCTTTGAACATGAATGTACCTTTTCATGCTATAATTGGTGACAACGAGTGTAGCAAAAAGCAAAGCTGGACACTGATCAGTCAGGAGAGGATGCTAGACTGTTGTCTGTATCCAGGTGGTCTTGTTGTTGCCTCTCCTGTGGGCCCGTTGAAAGCACCTGCACCTGACTCACAATGGTTTAAGCTTCCTAAATGGACAGATTGATATCCCTGAAGTTTAACTGACTTTTTTAAAAGAAACATATATGATGAGATTCCACATGAATGATTTGCTTTGGTTTAAAGTGAAAAAAAGGTACCCTGTAAAGGGCTCAGTCAGTCTATTGGATGTTTGGACTAAAATCCAAAGGATGAAGATTGTATGAAACCGGCCAACCCTTTAATACGATAATGTTTTATCGTTCGGAAAGTGCCTGGGTTTTTGATCACTGTGGATATTTTTAAACACAGCTGATTGGGGCTCTTCCTGATTACCTCATCACTGTATGCGAGAGAGAGGTGGGGAGATGGCAGCACTCTGGCCCTCAGCCTAGATTTGCACGGGAGAACAGTCTCCTCCTGGCTGGTTACTATGGCAACCCACCTTCTCAGTCGCTGCTCAGGCAGACGGCCACAGAAGGAGCGAATATGGGGCGGGGAAGTGTGAGAGGGGGAGAGAAGGGAGACGCCATTTTTAGAGCTGCTCTCATCCCCGTTCTTCTCTTGTTTGGCTCATTTCTAATGAGCCGAATGATTCGCCGGTGCATTCTCGCGGCTACGTGCGGGCGGCCTGTTAATGCCTTTAAATGCACCATTACCACTCAGAGCTGTTCTTATGTTGAATATATCAGTGTATTTGATAACTGATGATTTATCTGATATTAGCTACAAAGTAAATTTGCCTGTAAATGACCAGTTTAGAAGATGACTCACATCTCTCTTTGTCTCAGATGTGCCCATGCATAGTGATGTGATGCGAATGGACTGAAGCATGTGTCCGATTTCTGTGTAGGGATGTCTGTGTGCGTAACCTCTGTTTAGTGCCACGTGTCTCAGCACATGCGAACTGGATGCTGTGGATTTTTGTGTGCTACTTTTAATCATGTTCTCTCCCTTCACCTTTGTGTGTGTGTGTGTGTGTGTGTGTGTGTCCAGGTGAAGTGGATGATGTACTGGATAGTGTTTGCATTGTTCAGCACAGCAGAAACGGTCACAGACCTGCTCCTATCATGGTGAGTCGGGACCTGCTTGTGATTGTAACCCTCTTTCTTCACGCGCTTATAATAAATGAACCACTTGTAAAATAAAACATCAATAGATGCTTTAATGTTCTGCTGCTGATTTTTAATACAATAATCTCTTGAAGGATCTTTTTTTTTTTTTTCCTTTCCTACTTTAGCATCCTAATCTATACACCACTCATGCATACCTTTTGCTCAGTGTGTTGTTTCCTTTACGACGCTGCCGACCGATTAACTCTGTGTTTAATTATCCAGGTTTCCATTTTACTTTGAGCTAAAGATTGCGTTTGTGATCTGGCTGCTGTCTCCGTACACAAAGGGCTCCAGTGTCCTCTACCGCAAGTTTGTCCACCCCACCCTGTCAAATAAAGAGAAGGTAAAAAGAAAAAGCCCATCAAAATCTGAAATGATATGACTCTTTGTCCTGATGACTCAAAGTGTCGTCTCTAACTCCTCCCTGTGTACTGTCCTTTGTGCTGCAGGAGATAGATGAGTACATCGCACAGGCCAAAGACAGAAGTTATGAGACCATGATGAAGTTTGGAAAACGGGGTCTCAACCTGGCTGCTAACGCTGCCGTCACTGCAGCCACCAAGGTGACTGTGCTTAAATGTTAACGTTTGCTCTGTCTTCAAGTATCTTTAAAGTAGATCATGGCTAACACCTGTTCAGTTAATATTTTATGTGTTTATTTACTTGTTAACGTTATTACAAAGTCCCCACATAGATGCCTCTGCTTTTCTGTTTGCATGTGAAATACAAACCTCGGCCAAATGGTAAATAATGTTGTTATTAACTCACTTGTACAGCTAGAAAAGAGGACTGAGATGACTGTCAGTAGTTGAGCTTCCTCTAACGATTAGTCTCATAATTAAGAGGGCTCTGAATTTATTTTCTAAATGAGTTTTTTGTTCTATTCACGGAAGAACATTAACAAACCTCCACCAAGCCAGCTCACTCTGTGGGCAGTATTTACTTTAATGGGACCTTTTACTGTAATGTACATAATAAAGTGACAGGTCCCTATATATCATCTCTACATCCCCAGATGTGTATGCTTTCATATAATAGTTTTAAATAGCTCTACATATCATTATTAGCACTTTGACCTTCAGATCAATGTATAGATCTTGAAGGAGAGGTCAGAGGTTGTGACATGATATTTGAAATCTTTCTATTTGTTGACTGTACACAACACATTTGTAAGAATCACAGTTTCTAAGGTTTAAGGCTTTTTTGTTGGTTTTCAACCAATAAATAACTAGGATGACCTTTCGTGGTGGATGTGCATTTTATGTGACCAGGTGACTGGACTAAATAACTTTTTCTGACTTTCGTCAGATTAGCTGTGCAACTGTAATAGTGAAGCGTGCTATCAGATACTGAACAGTTGTTCTTGTAAGCTGCGAAACAGGAAGTTGGCGCTACTAAATCATTCTGTACTAAAGGCTTATAGCTGCTGCAGACACTTGTTCTATATTTATAGTAAAGCTTGCTGTTTGTTCCTTAATACAAAATTCCATATTAGTTAAACATGCACTCTCTAACATTTGTCATTTGTCCCAAACACAGGATCACAGATCGCATTTATCAATGTCCTCAAGTATTCAAACACATTTGTTTGTAAAGGCAAATATTGTCCGTGCAGCTTCTTTTAATTAGCGCTCCACTTGGAATTTATTTTCATATTGATTACCCTGTTGATTTTTCTGTTTAGTAAGTTAAATAATTGTAGCCAAAATTGGTCATCTCACTTTCCCAGAATCCAAAGTGGGGTCTTCCAAATATTAATCAGCTTCACCACATAATCATTGGCAGATTTTAAAAAAATGAACTTTTGAAAACAGTTTTTTTCTGAGTAATGGTGGTTTTGCATATCTAATATGCCTGTTTTTGTTCCTGCTGTGACGCCCAGGGGCAGGGCGTGTTGTCAGACAAGTTGCGGAGTTTCAGCATGCAGGACCTCACTCTCATCAACGCTGATGACGAGCTGGCTCTGCACACTCCCGATGCCCGCATGAGACGGGACCCCATGGATGAGATGAGCTCGGGCGCGAGCACGCTGCCCCGGGCCAAGAGCACTGCTGCACGGCAGAGTAAGGCCGCACAACACGCATCTCCCACACGACATCAGCAGCAGCTTCACGTAGAGAATCGTACACAAGTGCATGAATACACACAAGCTGTGTTTGCAGCTTGCTGACTGACCCAGAGTGTGACGAAGAAGTCTTCCCTTATTTAACTTCAGAGCAGGACTGGGACTACTTCGGCCAAGTGGAGTCATGTGATTTAAAGCACTGCAGGGTGGGAAGAAAGGGTGGGGAAAGAAGGGTGGCTGAGGGAGGCTGTGCAAAGAGGATCGAGCCGGGGTGAAAACATGTGATTCCAGTGGGAGGGGAGGCTTGGAAGGAGGTCTCTTTGTGTCTCGCTGCACTGCCGGCTGGCTAACTGTGTGGGTACAAGCTGTGAGCTGAATACAGAGAGACACTGAAACAATGAAGTCACGGGGCCGAGTGGTGCATTTTAATATGTACAATGCATTTTGTTTTTTTTTCTTTTTGTTCATTTACACATGACTTCTAAAACCAGACTAAAAACAGCTGAAACAAAACACTGAAGTCAGAGTTCAACTGAAATCTGCAGTGGCATTAGTAAATGAGTAGACCCTAACTTTTATGAACTAGCAAGTTCAAAATTATTTATTTTGGATTACTTTTCTTTTCTTTTTTTTTTTAATTCTAAATGATCTGCAGATCATCACTAAAGTAACGAGTGTAGCTTTGCAGCTCCTAAAGTTGCTGTTTGGGATTTTTCTAACTTTACTCAAAAAAAAACACTTTTTCTATTCTAGATGTCACACAAACAGTTTAGTTTCCTTCCTAATTTAACATTTGCAAAGAAAACTTTGTAATCTAATGGACCAGTTCTTCTGATTTTATGTCTCCCAAAAGCAAAGGATAAAAATGATTTCACAAGCTAATTTGAGTCTCTGGAAAACGGGCAAATGAAAACAACAAAACAAAAAAACAAACACTTAAAAAGATGGAAGTGACTCCTTTTTTTTCTCTTTATTTTAAAACTGGTGGCTGTATATTATTAAAAAAAATAGATACATTGAAGTGTCCACTAGGTGGCGTTAAAGGCTCTGTCTGTGATGATGCACTGGTTCAAGGCTACACCAAATAAATCTGTAAATTCAGCAGTTCTGTGGCAGCAGTAAAATGCAGACGTGTGATGTTTGGTGTCTCTCAGATCATGTGGTGATGTCACTCTGAACACTCAGCTACTCTCACTGACTGTCCATCAATCTCTGTCCTGTCCTGCAGCTCGCTCTGTGGCAGCCGCGTCCCTTATTGATGACACATCGTCCCAACACAGCTCTGACCTGTCAGACACAAGAACCGAACACTCTGATGAGGATGTGGGAGATAAAGGGCACAAACGCAGTACCAGTGTCAAGGCAACCAAGAAGCCTGCTGCTGCTAAGACAGAGGTAGGGCATACACGCTTTGTAGATTTGTCAATCACAGGGCAATTTTCTTACATTGAATATATACAATATTACAACAGTCACTAGCCACTTTAAGTGCACCTTCAAATGCTCATTACCCAGCAATTGCATTTAGCCATGTAGACATGGTCAAGATGACCTGCTGAAGTTCAAACTGAGCATCAGAACGAGGGAAAATGTTGTTTAAGTGACTTTGAAAGTGATTTGTTTGTTTGTTGGTGCCAGATGGGTTGGTCAGAGTATTTCGGAAACTGCTGAGGTTCTCCCACACATTCATCCCTAAGGTTTACAGAGACTGGTCTGAAAAAGAGAAAATATCCAGGGGCTCTACAGTCATCCGATCTTAGTCCTATAGAGCGTCTTTGGGATGTGGGGGAATGGGTGTGGACAGAAGTCTACCAGCACCTTGTTGAATCTGTGCCTTGAAGAATTCTGAAGGCAGACGAGGCCCCAGCCCTGTACTAGCAAGGTGTACCTAATAATCTGACCAATAAGTGTAGCATTGTCAGTATTTCCTAATATTTTTTTCGTCCTCAACAATTAACCTACTTTAATTTGGTAATAGTAATGTATGCATTTCATTACTAATAGCACAGTTCATTTCCAATAAAACGGTGATAAATGATTTCATGTTGCACACATTACCTCTTGACCTGCATTTAGTTCTGACCCACAGATTACATGTATGCTTTCACAAGCAATTAAGTGGCCTGTGAGTTCACATAATCATACCTGTAATTACACAGGCAAGTGATACTACCTGCACCAACTGTATATACATCAGATGTTCCTGTGGTATTTTGCAGCATCAACAGTTCACTCAGAAATGGCACGCTGCTCTTTATGGAGACTTTATTTTCACTGTTTACACAGATTAAACATGCTTTGAGCAGCAGTTACAATGCAACTAATAACTCGTACTCTTGTTAGTGAAACCACTCATTTTCCCAGTCTTTGATTGATCAGCTCTAGTAATCTCTCTCTTTATTTTCTTCTTCTGCGGCCAGACTCAAAACAAAACAGTGAAAAAGCCTGTGAAGAAGAAGACGACAACTAATAACGCAGAGACGCCACCATGAGTCCTGCAGCCCACACATGCACTGGCCTCCACTTGCTCCACCCACAGCCTGCAGTCCCTTCCTCCTGTTTGGTGTCCACACAAGCGCACATATACACTTTACATACATACATTCATTTTAAATACGGTTCTTTTAAAGTTACAGGCCCTTGTTTATGTCTCGTTCTCTTTAAGGAGAATTTAGCTGCGATTTAACTGAGACTGAGACTTTTTTTTTTCTTTTTAATTTTACACAGGCCACAGTCTTCAGCTAATCTTGACCTGACCGTGTGATAGAAATCGTCCAAAGTTTGTCTTTTGAAGCACTGAAAACTGGAACTC